ATGAGAGTCTATTCTTTTAATAAACTACTGTAGAAGAAAGTTATTTACAAGCAACATTTTTATTTCAGTCTTTGAAAGAATCTACTTTTAACATTTTTTTTATTCATTTCAATTCTTATTCAAGAAAACTGCCTTGATGTTACATTTAATGGAAGTTGTACTAATAAAAAACAAGACAATTAATATTTTGGTATTTTCTTTTTATAATTACTGTACCCAAACAATTTAAACAGTCCACTTAGGAAGCAAAAACTGATAGAATGAATTTAATTTGCTGTTGTGCAAATGTAAAAGATAAAAGGTGGAAATTATTGGCAATTAGAAAGATGCTCTATAAAGGAGTGGTCCTGCAGGTGGGACAGACCACTTTTCAGTATCCATGATTTCCGGCTGATGTTTTGGTCATTTTTCAAAGTTGGTGGTGCTTTCACACTTGTGGACAACCCCAACAAGTGGCGTAGATAGTGCAGCTCATCCAGGATGGCACATCAATGCTCGATGTGGCAAGAAGGTTTGCTGTATCGTCAGCATAGTGTCCAGAGGCATTGAAGCTTTGGACTTCCCCACCCATTCCCCAGATCTGAATCCATTTGAGAACATCAGGTCTCAATCCACCCACCGACATCACGCTAAACCACAGACTGTCCAGGAGTTAGAGGATGCTTTAGTCCAGGTCTGGGAAGAGACCGTCTGCTACCCCATCAGGAGAAAACCCAGGCATTGTAGGGAGGTCATACAGGCCACAGACAATACTGAGCCTCATTTTGACCCGTTTAAAGGACATTACAACAAAGCACAACCATCCTGTAGTGTGTTTTTCCAGTTAAATCCAGGCCTCCATTGGTAAATACACTGAATTTCCATTGCTTGTATAATTTCACATTCAACTTTGTACCGTGCAAAGTATTCAATGAGTTCATTCACTCAGATCTAGAATCTGTTATTTTAGTGTTCCCTAACTTTTTTTGAGCAGTGTATATATAAGCTTCAGTTTCTTTTCTGTTTTTTTTTTTGTGTTTATTTCAAGATTGCAAGTTTTTCTGTGTTTAAAAAAATATTGTTTTGTAAATGTTTCCTAGCAAGTTTCGAAATACTTTTCAGCTAAATACTTTTCATACTTTCCTTTTATAGCTACTATTTATTTCTTTACAGTCTAAACCAGGGGTCTGCAATCTGCGGCTGCAGAGCCATAAGTGGCTCTTTGGTAATTTAACAATGGATCTTTATTGTGCCCAAGATATAGTTTTGGATACAGTATAATAACAAATAGTTTTAGAAGCTTTAGTGTTTTGTTTTTTAAGAAAAAATTGAATTTCGAGAACATAATCACATTAAAAGAACCAGTAACATGTTTTTAGATCAATTATTTTCCCTATTGTCACTGTTAAAACCTAAAAATACAAATAAAATATTGGTTCTTCAAAATGGCATGTCAAGTAGCAGGTATTGAACAATCATTTATCTTTTATTATAAAAGTAATTTAATATTTGCATCTGTAATTGACTTTTATTTTACTGGATTCAGCTCTTTGGGTTTTAAATAGGGTTGGGTATTTTGGCCAAAGTCCTGAATCGATTAGATTTTGATTCATACAGTTCTAAATCGATTAATTTCGATTCGGTCTGTTTTTACAATAATGAAAGTGGTTCAACTGTGTTTCAAAATACTCATGTATTTTATTTTTTCCTCTCACATTAAACACAAAGTGCAAACTTGTAAATCAGACAGTTTAAACTTGAGATGTGAACAAAACTGTCTCAAAACTGCAAACTTGTGAAAAAGTGAAGCCTCACACGAGCAAGCAGAGGTGACACAGCGGGGACACAGCAGACATGCATGAGCTGCATTATCTCCAATGCACAAACCATATTTGCAGCGTTGTCTGTAACAGCTACAGGGTGTTTTCTGGTTAGCCTCCATTTGTTAATGTCTTCAATCAACCTATTGGCTATTTTTGCAGCTGTCTGGCTTGAAGTAATCTTGAGTGCATCTTTCCTGCTCATTTGAGAGTGAACGTCACGTGTGTCACTGTAAAACTGATCGATCTCATTCCCTAGACATCGATTTTGCAAAAAATGTAAAGGAATTAATTCAAAATCGACTAAATCGATTTTTCTAATCAGCCCTAGTTTTAGCCCTTTATAGGGCACTCTGTGTGAAATACTTTGAAAAATCAAAATTTCAAGACCAAACTACCTTTGTAACATAAAAAAAAAATATGGATGTTTTGATGACAAAAAAAAATAATGTCAATGTAATAACAAGAAACACCAACTTGCCCAAATATATTAAGAAAAATAGCAAAAGTGCTTCTATAGGAGATTCATGAAAAAAACCCTGATAGTTTGGTGCAACATACCATTAGGCATTGGGCATTAGAGGCTGATACTGGCACTTAATTTTTTTAGTTTATAATCCCAAATATAATTTTTAACCAGGCTTATTAACTTTTGAATCAGCTTTTTACCTTTTTTTTCGTAACTTTTTAACCTTTTTTTCCCCAACTTAATTTACAGTAGGTAATATATCAATCAAGGGCTCATTTAACTGATCAAATGCCAAAATAAGATGTGCAGCCATGTAGCAGCATCTGTGCTGAATGGCTGGATATAGATCTTGTGCTTCTAGACCTCACTGAGGGGCCGGGGTTCTCCATTTGTAAGGGGTCTGCAAGTGATCAAAAACAGTAAGTTGCCCTATAAAGGATTAAAGGTTGCAGACCTCTGGTTTAAACAAATGTTATGGCCCAAATTTAGCTCCATAAGCAATGCATAGGGGCGTCTCTTTAAATTATCACAAGGCATGGTTTCTGAATGTGCCGATAAATCTGCCAATGGCTGCAATACAACGAGAATATCAAGAAGAAATATCGACCGGCCGATATATCAGCCTTAAATATATTATGTAATTCATTTTACAGGTGAGCTAAAGTTCACATATGCCAACTCAACATCATTTCAGACTTTTTGATGTCTTTGATTTAATGCTGTGTGTATTTAAACACATTAAACACAGAGTAATAGAAATGTCAGCCACATTTATCTAAAAAAAACATGCAGAACCTGGAAAAATACAGAGGGGACAAAACAACAGAAACAGGAAAGAAGATTGGAGCCATAGAAACACTGAATATGTCTTTCCCACAGGGTGAGAAACAGTAAATGAGGAAAAACAACAAATAAACATCAGATCATCACGTGTCATTCATTCAACAGGTTTTGGTTGCTATCCTGACATTGATCACACTGACAGCATCCGGGAAGCGGCTCGTGTTCAGCTTTACATTCTGGACACGAAAATGTTTTCCATATTTATAAAAATATATATTTTTTTCAGAATAAGTTGGGACCTTTTTAATAGTATAGGATAAATTAAACACCTCACGTTTAGCTGTCTGCGTGGAGGTAAAGCGGTGCGAGTCACCAGTAGAGCTGCAGGTGGACAAAGATGCTACAAGCTAGCCTCATCCGGGTGCTGTTAGCATGAAGCTAACCCGCCAAAACCAGCGCTTACCACTGGCTCAGTGGATAAATATCAACGTTTATGGGTTAGAAGCTTACGTTCTCGTCTCCTGACATGTCGGGGTTACTGTTCTCATCGCTGCTTAGTTTCTGTTTTTTCGCCGGCATTTCTTTTCCCGCTTGAGACGGGGAGTCTGTCATGCTCTTGTTTTCTCTCATTACGGCTTTGCCTCCTACTTCTCTTCTTCTTCTTCGTGGGTTCTTTGGCTGAGAAGCGCCTTAGCGCCCCTACTGGTTAGAAAGAGCAAAAATATACACTTCACTTTCTAATTTTTTCCAACTTCAAATTTTGTAATGTTGAAGGTTAATGTTCCCTGAAGCATGATATGTTATTTTTGGTTTGATGGAAAGAGCTAGAAAGCTACATTAGGGCTGATTTGGGACCATAAAGTTAATTAGAAAGAAAACAAATATTACTTAAAAAACGTTGTTTAAAAAAAATGAAGCCTAAAAAAAGTTTGTTCAAAAGGAAAAGAAAATAAAAAAACAAATTACTGGTAAAAAAAAAAAAGAAAAAACTTTTGAGAAATTTTTATTTTAAACAACTGTTTTTTTTATGTTTGAATTTCCTTTGAACATTTTATTCAGGTATACATTTTTTTTCAAAAAAATTTTTTTTGTGCCAGTTTAAATTTCTTTTTCCAATAATCTTTTTTTGTTTAGAACAAACCTTATGGCCCCAATTTAGCTCCACAGGAATTTAATTATTATATTTGGCACATTTTATTTGCATAAATGTACTTTTTCCATCATCCTCCCTTTTTTTTTTTTAAAGCTTTTGTTAAGGAAATTGAGTCTTATATATCCAGTTTCCCAAAGTACAAAAAAAGCTGTAAGCAGATATGAATGTTTCAGGTTATTGAATGTTTTTTACTTAAATCATATCAACTTTTTTTTCTTTTGCACTTATGTACTCTCTGTAGAAGCAAATATCCCTGGCATACTTTTGAAAATTCTGTTCCTTTTTTAACATAAAAAATCTGTATACAAAGATTCTCAAAAAAAAAAGTAGTTGTGGTGAAAACACATGGGACACAATTGCTTATGTTATGAATATAACTAAATATATGAAATATATTTATCTAATACATAGAAACAATTAAATTATAAAATGCACATGAAAGTATTTAAATATCCCTGCAAATAACCAAAAACATATATTAATGAAATTAGATAGAAAATGTATTTGAAATTGTTTTAATGACTTCTTTTCATAGCAGCAAAATAGGGAGATTGTTTATAAATGGTGCTATATACCTTTAAATTCCCTCTAACAGTTCATAAAGAATCAACTGCAGGAGATCAGCTATTGCAATAAAATATCATTTATATTATTTATAAATATATTTATTTCCTTACACTTTAAAAGTGTAATTATTTTAACAACTTTAATATTTAAAATTACTAAATGTTTTTAGATTTTCAACATAACTGACATCAAAACTTGGATAAAATGATTAAAGTAAACATTTTTGACAATAAAGTGAATTTATTATAAAAACAAACTGCATATGAGTCATACATAAAAGCACAGAGAAACTAATATGAAGTCAACATTAGATACAGGCTACAGCATCAGGTCTGTCTCTTCTACAGAAGCTTCGCTCATCCCTTCATCTTCATCATCCTCCTCCTCCTCAGCGGGCCTCTTAATGCCCTTCTGTTTTGAGAGCGCCACTGCGTAGCGGATGTTATACATGTTGAAGTCACATCTGTAAGGAGAAAACCGATTAGAAAACCTTCTTTTTTTGGGATTAGAGTCAGAAAAACGAAACGTACAGCTTGGATAGATTGTCGAAGTGTCTCTGGATGCTCTTCTGCAGCGACTGCAGCGTTGGGACGATGGATGCAGACCTGGAAAGCAGAGAAAATTTAGTATCTGGGGACAAATAGAGGCAGCGGGAGGAACCAGGAAATGTGTTTCTACCTGTTCTTGAGTCGCTGCCCGTGCAGCATGAGCAGGTTCTGGGCCCAGCTCATGTAGAATTGCAGGTGACTCGATTTCTCCAAGCATGAAGCCACAAAGCCAAGCAGCTTCTCCACGTAAATGTCAGGCAGAGATCCGCAAACCACCGGAACTGGAGAATAAAAGCACACAAAGGATCTGAGCTATGGAGGGAAATTTGTTCCACTATTGCTGCCAGCAAAGACAGCATTAACAAAATGGAAATATGAACAACAAAATAATAATGCAATACAGAAGTTAAACTTTAAGAAAAAAGCCCAATAAAAAAGGTTTGTTTAACTTTTCTGTTATCTTAATGTTTTTTCCACAATTTAAACACAAATTAAACATAATAAAATAAATTTTTTTCTCTCAAGTTTATTTTTCAAAAATAAAAAAAAAATCTTCTTTTATTAATTTTTTTTCCATATGTTTAGCTTTACCCTATTTTGCCATTTTTTATTTTTCACATGCTTAAATTTGTATCCCCGCCTTTTATTTTTCATAATTAATCTTTTTTTTTTTCAAATTTCACCTTTAGTTTTATCAATTGCATACTTTTCAAAATTCGGTTTTACAGATCATAGTGATTAAAGATGCGTTCCTATTGGTTCTACACGGATGTTAGCAACAGCGTTTTATTGGTTAATGTGGCATCAAAGAAAAAAATAAAGAGAAATCTGAAAAAAAAAAGAAAAAGGTTTTGTTTGAGATTTTTTTTTTATTCTATTTTTTTTCTTTCACCAATAATGAAGACCTAAAGGATAAATAGATGAAGCTGAACCCACTCTGCTGCTGTGGAACCGTTTCCAGCACCTCCTGTTTGAGTGCGTTTTCATTGAGCCTGAACGCCAGGACGATGGCCGACGCCCACTCCTGGAGGCGGAGCTGCTTGCGGATGCTGGCCGGCGTCACGTCCAGGTCCAGGTCGTACGGGTCGAAAACCAGGGACCCGTCCAGGGAGTAGACCAGCAGACCCTCGGTGGTAGCGGCTGCCCAGCTGCGCCCGGTCGGAGAGAAGCGCAGCGAGCTGACCCGGATCTCCGGCTTGAAGTGGCGGGAACTCATGTCGCCTTTAACCAAACGGACGCCATGTTTACTCCACCGGTATGATGAAAACTCAGAAATCTAAATTAAAACCAAACTACCTCTCCTGACTCCAGGCAGGCTGATGTCCACCCCGTCTTCATCTCCGGCGCCGTCGTCCACCAGCGTGAGGCTGCCGAACTCCGTCATCTTCCGCCTGTCCAGGAACTCCTGCAGGAGAAACGATGCATCAGAAGCGCTCCTACGCCCCCCGCCTCATGCGGCCGGGAGAGAACCTTTGCTTTTACCTCCATGGCATCAAACGACAGGTTGCAGGAGATCTCAAACTTCTTCATCAGCATCTGCTCCTGGACGTTGTAGATGCAGACGAACTTGGAGTGTCCTCCCGCCAAAACAGACTCCCCGTCAGCAGAGTAACACAGAGACGTGAAAGACCTAAACCGAAGAGAACTGCGGTTAAAAACCACAAAAACCCGAGCAAAAAGGAACGGAACCCGACGTTTGAATCGCTTTCACTCACTTTCCCTTGGCGGACTGCTTGGCTGTGATCTTATCCGTCTCCTTGCGGCCGACCTCCAGGTCGTGGCGTCCGGCGATGGAGCCGGTCTGCGCGGCCGTCTGGGGGTTCCAGAAGGAGATTTCTCCGTTCAGAGTGGCCACAGCCAGCTGCTGCCCGTCAGGGCGATACGTCACACACAGACCTGAGGACGCACACGCAGGAAACAGAGAAAAACGACTTTTATTCTGTTTTAATGGTCAATGCTGGATTTTTACATCAAAATCCTCTTAAAGATTGAAAACATTCAAAGCTGAACTATTATCTCAGATTTCTACAAGAGTTTTATTCTAACAAACTTATCTAAAGAATTCAAAACCTGAAATTTGATTTTCAAAGTCGTTCTGAAATCTTAGTTAAATCTCAGTTTTAAGAAAGAAGGAAACGCAGTTGAACTCATTCTGACCCCTTTTATTTCTCACGGCGGTATGCATGAGAGTAGCAAAGTTAGCTAGTAACGTTAGCAGCTAGCCATGGCTTGTTTACCACCTCCTCTTAGACAATATGTAAAAAGTTACATGACCAGTAGCATCTATTATCATCCATAATTTTTTTTAAAGTGCAAACAAACTAATGACATCATTTTTCCTCTTTTATTGATTGATTCCAACTTATTTTTCCTTTAAAATTCATTATATTTTCCTTTATAATCTTTTTTTAAACAGATTTAAAATTAAATCTAGTTTTTTATTTTCCTTTATAATTCAAATCTGCCTGAATAAAAATGAACTGACATCTATTCTGCTTTCACATTTTCCTTTCTGCTGGAGGTTCCTTGAAAGTGCAGAAACATTTTCTTCCTAAATAATGAAATATTATTAATAGATTGTTTGATGCTCCTTCAATAATAAGTGATTTAAAAGAAACTTTACCGATAACAATAAAAAACTCCAAACTGTTGGAGTGAATACATCCTAAATAAAATCCTTCAAGAAAGAAACTTTGGAGGATATCTCCCTTTTTCTCCTACTTAACCAAACTGTTTCAGCTTATAAATGAGGCCTTCCATGTGTTTTCCTTTAAAATTCATTTTTTTGCATCAAAACTGTGAATCCATCATTTGCTTTTTTAACATTTTGTGTGATTTTTAGTTATTTATATTTAAAAATTTCAATAATATTCAGATTTTTACCACATAACTGTTTCAATTTATAAATTTTTCTTCTTATTTTAAAATACTGATAAAAGATTTTGATAAATTCAGATATTGAGTTAACAGCTCACCTAACTTTTTCATGTTTTTTTTCCCCCTTAAAATGGTGAAAATAGTTTAATTTTAGCATCAAAATTGTGATTCCATCATTTTTTGGAAACATTTTAAGTGTTTTTTACCTTTAAAACATTGACAAATATTCATACTTTTACTTCAAACTGTATAAATTAGTACTTTTTTAAAGTAAAAATGATACATTTTCATAAATTAAGATTATATTTGACATTGAGTTTTTATATATTTATATTCATCCATCATATTTAAGTTTTTTCTTCAATAAAGTTATCTATATGTAAAAACAGTAATAATATTCAGATTTTTACCTCAAAACTGTTCTAAGTTTCTACATTTGTCGTCTCATTTTAAAGTAAAATGTTCATAAATTCGGTGTTATTTTCAAATATAAAGTCACCAATTGGAGTGAATCTATGCGTTTATCTCTGGTGCCCTCTGCTGGCAGGAACAAACATCTCATTGTTTCTTTACCGTCTGATGTCAGAGGGAGCGTCTCTTTGACCTGCCAGCTGTCCAGCATGTCCCACAGTCGGACAGTACGGTCCCACGAGGCGCTGGCCAGGACAGACTGGACCGGACTGAAGCTCAGGCTGCTGACTGGACCCTCGTGTCCTGAGAGGACCTGCTCAGCCCAAGACAAGGAGCGTCTGTTTTAGCCCTTCTAGAACCACGGTAGGAAGAGCAGAGTTATAAAAAAAGGGGAAAAGTCTCTCCTACCTCCAGCAGCCGGCCGGTCTGCATGGACCAGAGGAAGATCTCGAAGGAGTCCTGCGCTCCGGCGCTCACCAGCTCCCCGCTCACATCGACTGCCAGCGAGGAGAACTGCGCCGGCCGAGGAGACGTAAACGTCCGGAAGTTTCGGTACCTGCAGTCAAAAATACACACCTTTAAACCCCCCCTTCTTTTATTGTTTTTTTCCTTTCCTTTCTGCGACAGATTTCCGTCACCTGTGCAGGTCGAACGCCCTAACGGTGCCGTCCAAGGAGGCGCTGACGATGACGAAGCCGCTGGAGGTGAAGGTGACGCTGGTGACGCTGCTGGTGTGCTCGGTAAAGGTGACAAAGCAGAGCCCGCTGTTGGTGTTCCACACTTTCACCTGAAGGAGCAAAACACAGGAAGCGCTTTGGAGAAAAATGTTCCACCAACCTCACTTCCTGTTGGTGTTCTGGACTCACTTTCCCATCATCCCCTCCTGTCACCACGTACTGCCCGTCTGGAGAGTAAGCCAGAGAGGCCATGTTGTTGAAGTGACCCTGCTGCTTGAAGACGTACGATTCGCTCTGCCACTCCCACACCAGCAGCTGACCCTTCCCTAAAGGAAAACAACAAAAAAAACGAGGCGTTTAATTACTTCCTAGTTAAAGACGGCCACATAAAGACAAGGAGGCGAGCTTACGAGAGCATCCGAACGCAATCCAGTCTCCGGAGCTGTTTATAGCCACTGAGGCGATCCTTTGGTCTGAGATGCTGCAAAGACAGAAATCCTGGTCATCAACCTGCTTCCTGTTAAACGATCCGATCAAAAACCAAGCGGCACCTCAGCGAGTGAATCAGGTTGAACTCGGGCAGTTCGTGCAGGTGGAATATTCCCGAAGCGAAGCCGGTGACCAGGATGTGGGTGGGTTTATGGTAGGCGGCAGCCGTCAGGTTGTTGAACTCGCCCTCCTTGTTGAAGAAATGTCTGGAAACGCAAAAAAAAAAAGTACCGCAGATACGGTTAAAAGTTTATACGCTTCTTTGATTTGACCATAAATCAACATTTAGATGCTGTTGATTAACAGGACAAGAATGGAAAGGGTTTAATTCTATGGAGTGAGTTTTGTTCCATTATTGTTGCAAGTAAAAACATGCTCTGTAAATGAACATTTTAAAAAATAAACATTTCTATTCAAAAATAACTTTTTGTTTTTGTGGAGGGAAGAAAATCACACTAATCGTGATCTTTAGGTAAACACCAGTCGGGAGAAACTGAATTCACTATGAAGCAGATTCAAGGTTCAAGCAAATACAGGACAGAACCTAAATATTTGTAAAAGGGTTTAATAAGGGAAAGAAAAAGTGACTTACTTGCTTATCTGCTTGTATCGAACATTTTTAATCTTGCTATTGGTTTTTGGAGTTTCCGTTTTCCCTCGGATCACCTCCCCTTCCTCTCCTTCCGCCCTCTCCTCTTCCTCCTCGTCCTCCTCTGGTCTTGCCGGCTTGCTTTTGTCAACGCTTTTCTTCAGAACCAGGCCGTCCGGCTCGGTGTCGCTTTCCCAGACGCACAGAACTCCGTCCTGGCTCACCGTGTAAAGCTGAGAAAACAAAACCAACATTAGAAATGGAAGCTGTAATTGTTGGGAAATTGAGTGAGGAGATGAATATGGGGTGAATTTGGTTCCATTATTATTCCAAGCAAAGAAATTCTTTTGTAAATGGAAAGTTAAGAAAAATATAATCCAGAAATGAAACTCTTTTGTGAGTTGCTTTGCCGTTTTCTCACATTTTGTTATACATTATTTATTTATTTTTTTCTCCAAAAAAAAATCTTTTCTACAGATTTTATTTTTTCAAATTAATTCAAATACAATCTTTTTTTCAATTAAATTTTAAAAGGAATGCAAATTGCGAAAAGAAATGTAAAAAAAAGTTGAAAAGATAAAAAACTTTAAATACGGTATATGTATATATATAAATTTGAAAAGAACTTTAAAAAAACTTTGACAAAAAATCTCAAAAAGCATTTTTTATAAAATTGTTTACATTTTTTTTTAAATAAATAAAAAATAAAAGAAAATTTCAAAACAGAATTTGCAAAAATAGCAAGGTTGCATTTAACACCAGTGTTTTGGGTTTTTTTTTGTTAATTAAGAACTTCTTTAAAGTTTCTTTTCTCGAGTGCATTTTTTTTTTCTTTCAGATTTCTGTTTACAAAACTTCCTTTTTGCTCGCAATAACAATGGAACAAAATTCACTCCATAGTACGTACATTTAGGCTGTCCTTTTCGAAGAAACAGCCCACGATGACGTCCTTGTGTCCGCCCAGTGAGTAGTAGATCAGGTTAGCCCAGCGCTCTGCTCCAAACACCCAGGTGGACATGTCTTTGCTTCCCACCACGAAGCACCTGCAAGAAAACATCCCATCATCGCCACTGTAGGAAAACGCCCGCCACATCTTTACCTCCAAAAAACCCCTGCTCTCACTTGGAGTCGTCGGTCCAGTCGATGCACGTGGTTTCATCGTATGGGCCGTAGTAGCTCTTGTCTAAAACAAAGGCGTTGAACTCCCGCTGCTTCCCAGGGGCGTGGTACATCAGCGCTACGTTCTCCTTTGTCACAACAAACTTCCTGAGGATGGAGGATCAGAAATGTATGGAATTCATTTTGTTCCAATATTGTTGAAAAAAAAAAAAAAAAAGGTTTTGTAAATTTAAATGTAACAAAAATGCAACACAGAAATGATACTTCCAAAAAGTTCTTAATAAAAAAAATGAAAATAAATTTTGCTGTTTTCTCACATTTTTTTTTTTAAATCATTGTTTTTTCAAGTTTTTTTTTTCTTTATTTTGTACAGATTTTGTTGCTTTTTTTTTCTACTTTATTTCAGTTTTATAGACAGAGTTCACAAATTATTTTCTGTGTTTTCAAAGATCACCTTTACTTCAAGCCCAATACAAATTCTTGTTCTTATTTTTGACCACTAAAATATTGTCACTAATATCCGGCAGACCAATAGAAGGGAAGGCCGGCGGAAAGCCCGCCCCCAGAAGTGAAAAGAATCTGATCTGGAAAACGCAGTTGAAAAGAATTAAATTAAACAACTCAATCTGAAATTTTTTTTTGAAAAAATGAATTTAAAAATATAAAATCTGTCAAGTATAAAAATATAATATAAAAACGTGTTTCAATTTTAAATTGTATTTCTTTAGTCTTTTGTTTTTAAAAAACTTGTTCTTTTCTTGCAACAATAAGGGCTTATAATTGACTCCATAGGATAATATCAGTGCAGATCGAATCTAAAACTCTGTAATTCAGATCAGTTAAATGTTTTAGGATTGAATGTGAGAAGATCAGAACCTGCCGTCAGGAGAGAAGCGGATGCTGCTGACCGGCTTGTGGAAGTGGAAGTGATGAAGGACGGCTCGAGTGATGAGGCTGACCAGCAGGGCGGCGCCATCTGTCAGACATCAAACAACTTAAACAACTGTTTTTCTCCAACCAAGCAGGGCATACTAAAAAATTACGTTTTTTTCTGGTTGGACCTTTGTAGAGTTTTGGCTTTTAGGAGTATAAATAAAAACTTCTGACAGGTTTTACCTTCATCGACCACGACGGCCAAGCAGCCATCAGGAGAAACGCCAACGCATGTTATATTCTTGGTAGTAGAGATGGGCAACGTCTCAGACGTGTTACTGCAAAATGAAACGAACAACAACAAAGGTTAGAATACAGTACAGCTGAAACAACAACGCTATGGAATTCCTTTACAACTCATTTGGTAAATGAATCTGTTAGTTCAATCTCTAACGTTCTGCTCTCTCTGCTTTTTCTCATAGTAGCTTCATCTGGTCTGTTCCTGTTTGGCTGTGGCTCCATCCTGGAGAGAAATATCAGCTGTGCTGCTACCATCGACACATTTTATTGTTGATGTTGGAGCTTGGCCTGTTTTTTTAGTGTAATCCTGTTTCTCTGACTGTGACTGGCTGGATGTGCTCTCTTCATCCTCTGACATGGGAGCTGGCTCGGAGCTTGTCTGCCTGGCTGTGTGTTTCCTGGACGGGGCCGCCTTTTACAGCTGCTTTTTGCATCTCTGCTTCTGTCTCCTTGAACCCTAGTCGGCCTCGGCAGATGGCTGCTCACAAAGAGTTTTTCCTCTCCACTGTCACTACAAGCATCCTTGCTGCGAGATATTGCCTTCGAGTCAATGATTCGATGCAATCAAAATTCGAAATCAAATCGAAAACAGGTTTTGCTAACATAGAAAATTTTAATCACTTTAACTGCACGATCTGGCTGAATTTTATCCATAAAATGAGAATATAAAAAAAAAACAGTAAAAGTGAAATATTTTAAGTCTATTTCCCTTTAATTGGAGCAGGTAGATATGATGATCTGCTAATGGAATCAACATTTCTGCTCCTAAAATAAGATCATTAGATTTGTTTCACTATAAATAATAAAACTGAGAGTTTATTTTCTACATTTTTTTATAGAATTTAAATTAAAAAAAATCTTTAAAGAATTTCTTTATTTCTAATTTAGTCATTTTATTCCATTAGCAGATTGCCTAAAAAAATACACCTATTTGTAAAATATTACTCAATTTTTGCAAAGTTTTTGCAGTGCAATTAGGAATAAACTCTTAAAATATATAAATACATTTACCTTAAGATTAAACATTTAATATATAAATATAAAATATAAATATATATATACCTATTTTTTATTATTTAAAATAAAACTGAATAAAAATATGCTAGATTAAACATAAATAGCCCTAACAAAGGAATGTTTTTCTTTATTGGTTCTAATCTCCTGATGTTGGACAATCTGATCTATAGAATCTTAAAAGTAAAACTCATGATTTTTTTCCTCCTACGTATAAGAACCAACACTAAATAATTTATAGATGAAACATTATCTACATTTTTCCCCTTCCCTCCATAATGACTTACTTTTTCATGTCGAAGATAGAGATTCTGTTTCCAACTGGACTGATGACAGCATTTCCATCTTTGGAGAAATTCAAATTCCCCTGCCGATAGACAGCTCCGAGCAGGTTGGAAAACTACAGACAGAAAATGTGAGTTTAAAAAAAAAAAAAAAAAAGGAAGAGCAGAATTTCCATTAAAACCCAAACACAACTACCAACGTATTTAAATGACATTTCTTTTCAGAGCATGACAATATACTGTTAGGTTTAAGGTTTAAATAGGCCGAATGCTTGATAACATTAACCCTTTTCTGTGTATACGTTATTAAAAGTTTAAATTAAAAATAAACGTATTTTTTACCCAAGAACAACGTAAATGTGACACTTTTTTAATGCGGTTCTGAGGTTTCGTTCCAAAAGCATCTAAAACTACCATATTATTAGGCGCGAGCCACTTACCCTGTAAGCGAACTTCATGTTGATGAATAGTGCTCAACCTTTACGCATTGATTTACTCATAAATGCTTTATTTACCCCCTAAACTGTCTTAACTAAAGTATAACGACACATGCATCTCTTTCCTTTACACGTGGGTCCGCTTTGTTGACAGACGACACATCCGGTTGGAATTGGCTTAAAACTCCAACAGTGCCCCCTCCTGACGACAGTGAGGTACCGCGGATAACTGACATAAAGCTCTGCATCATGAAAGTTGACACAAAAGGTCATGGTTTTCTGTTTAGTTTTATAAATACAAATTTAAACCGTCTTTTTTATATTGATATTAAGACACATTTATTATAATATATCTTAAATAGGCTGAGATCAGTTTTTAAATGTAATTAAACATATTTATTGAATGGGCTGCTCAGTGGGGTAGTAGCACTGCTGCCTTGCAGCAAGACGGTTCTGGGTTCAGTTCCTGACCCAGGGTCTTTCTGCATGGAGTTTGCATGTTCTCCCTGAGTATGTGTGGGTTCTCTCCGGGTACTCCGGCTTCCTCTCACATGTTAATTCTATAAATTACCCTGAGGTGGGAGTGTGTGTGAATGGTTGTTTGTCTCTGCGTTGCTCTGAGATGGACTAGCTACCTGTCCAGGGTGTACCCTGCCTCCTGCCCATAGACAGCACCCCTCGTAACCCCAGTAGGGATAAACGTGTTGGAAAATGGATGGATGGATATTTAATGAATAGAGCCATAAGGGATAAAATGGTGCAGACTCATGCTCTTCCCCAGCATGGACAGGCACATAGTGGGGTTCTAGACAAGAGACAACAGGGGCCAGTGCCCTTCTAGAAATGGTCTTATCCCCTTTTATGGCTCCTGACATAATACTAATACATTTATGACCAATAAACGATGAGGCACACTGACACAGAAACCACAAATTAAATTTGAAAAAAGAAATCCTTTATTGAACAGGTTTATTTCAACAATGATGTAGGAATTTTAGCTTCAGTCATATTTAGATATGATCATAGTTTGTATCTACTATATCTGAGGTTTTCCAGAGTAGCAAATGGTTCTTTAGTTCAACTATTTTAAATAATGAACTGTTGCCCTGGCCCCATAAAAAAAAAATTGACCCCACCTAGGCACCCCCTCGGTAAATTTGGTCTAAAAATGCCAGGTAAGATGCTCAGAGTTAAAGAAGCATGGATGAAAATGAATACCAGACACAAAAAATGCTATAAGAGGCTGCAAGACTTTAAGCTGAGGCAGCTATTAACCTTCGAATAAGACAAAGACCGTAGCACGGTTTAAAACCAGTGCTTCTGTGTGTCCAAATAGAGTCTCACCAGTTAAATGTGCAAAACAATATCTATAAAAACATCTTTCCCCCCTATTTAGGTTCATAAAACAAAAACAACAGTAGAAAACAATATGTTTTTGGAAATAACACACATTTGTGAATAGTCTTTAGTAGGTCACTTCTGGATCAAAGTCTAAAACTGCTATTCAAAGTTATACTCGAGATGATCAGAGGCTTATTGCGATGGTTTCTAAACAACATTCTTGTCGACAAAAGGTTAAAAGTTGAATGTAGGTGAGAAAGAGTTCAAACAAAAACTTGTAACCAATGACAGAGTTGGAACTGAGCTTTTTACACCATCCCTTGCTGAATAATTAATCTGATAGCAGCTACAGTACACAGGCGGTGGAAATGTCCACAAGTGTGGAAATGAGATGCTGCTGAAAATGATACAGCAGCCAGGTGACCTGGAGATTAAGTTTAGAGACAGTTTGTTCTCCTGAGGCAACGGCAGGATGTTACAAAGATGTTGGCCGCAGTTCAAAAGTTTGCCCTTTTCACCTCAGGGTTTTGTGCCAAAGATCGAAACAGGGCACTACATGCAGCCGGACGTACTTCTGACCCCCACTGGAACACTCCAGACAGCCGTAGACAGTTTCCCGCCGCTGGTTTCCCATACCACACAGTGCGCAGGGTCCCTTCCGGATGTTGTGCTTCAGTAGGTTGACCCGCGTGTGGGAGCTTTCCCTAAGGTAGGACGTGGACACGTCCGTCATACTGGCGGCCTTCTCGTAGTACTCTGTCACCATGTCGTCCATGTAGGTATCGGAGTGGGTTAGTTCTTCGAATGTTCTGTCATCTGAACAGGAGTTGGTTGTAAGCAAAAGGTTGGAAGTATTGCAAACATTTCATGTGGGCAACTGGGACTGTACCTGCTCGGAATGGGTTTCCATAGATTATTCCGGACAAGAAGCGGCGCAGGCGACCCATTGAGAAATGGCCAACAAAGCCGCCCAGCTGCTCCCTCATCTGCTCCCTCTCAAATCCCCCCTTTGACTCTGGAGCAACACAGATATCTGAAAGGAAGAAAATGGGGATTGCCTTGCTATAACCAATTCCAAAACCAACCATAAGCTATGGTTTGGACATAATTTAGTATACACAGACAAGGGGTGAAAATATAGGTTATTTTAATTACTAGCAGCTGTTTTACAACATTTACAACGGGTCATCAGCTACCATAAGGCGGAGTAATCCACTTATTTGAGGTTATTTGAGGTCCCTTATCATACTCTTCAGTTCATTCTTGAGAATCAAATATGTCTACTAGTGTTGATCAGGGATATATGGTCCCTCCAGTGGATTTGGGGTCTTTTGATATCAACCAAATGTGGTAACCGATTTCCTTTGATACAGAAGAGAAGTACTTCACTCAGATGACAACTCTCACCCTATCTCTAGTGTAAATCCGGCAATTCTACAGAGAAAGGTAAGTTCAGCTTCTTTTCCCAGAGACATTTTTTTAGGCACTTCTTGTTGTGATTGGTGAGTGGTGTTAGCCAGACCAACTAGGGAAACAGAGCATTGCTCTTTAGCTTGGTTCCTTCAAAAAGACAGTGGCCATTTATTTACCACAGATGGGGGAGCTAGAGGCAACAAGTTATCTCTATGTCATGTATTTGTTCTGCCACTGAATCAGGTGAATCCAATTGACAGAGGTTAAACTAGATTGGACTCACCTTGTTCAGTGGCTGGGCAGAACAAATACATGACATAGAGCTGACTTGTTGACTCCAGATCCCCCATCTCTTCCCCTTACTCTTAAATGACAAACTGAGCTTGTTGAACGTCTACACTTGAGGCAGATTCAATGAGGGACTGTGAAGGAAATTCACCAGATTAGGGAAATCTTTTGCACATTAACTAATACTTAGAACACTGACTTGCTTGGTTTTCAAATGACGTTGTCTTCTGGTTCTTACCAACCTCTCTGCAGGACTTTTTAAGGTGATCAAAATCCCAACCCTTGCAAGATTCCCACATGGGGGTTAGGGTTGGAAAAGCTAATAAATGGATGTGGCTGAAACTGTCCATGGGTAACATAATATCTAGTTTTAATTCCTAATATAGATTTGAATTCAAGTTCCCATTTGAGATCCAGCTAAAACCAACAAAGGGTGTCTGACATATTTTTCTAACACGGGTTGTACTGAATCCACCAAAGTTGGAATTGTATAAAATGCTCATTATGTGTCTAGATCTAAACCTAAAAAGTCTTTAAGGAATTTGATTTTTCCATACATTTTATCTTACAGGGTAACTTCTACTCACATTAGGATCAAAGATGGTTATGATTTTTAAAAAAGCCTTTAATCTAAGACAAAAATGCTTGGCATGAAGTTTCCAAATCAAAGCGCCCTAAGGTGTTAACCACAAGTTATTATATATGCTTGGTGGTACATGTTGAGAGTAGAATTTAACCCTCAACCTTAAAAGAGCAGTTACATTCAAAGGTAGACTAAATGTTCCTCCTACCCAGTCGTCCGTCTAGACGGACAAACAGCTCGCAGATACTGAAGGCAATGGTAGTGTGAGCGGGAATGACGATGGCTTTATCTCGACCTTTAGGGTTTCGGCCATCGTCGATCTGAAACTGCAGAACAGAAAACCGAGTGATTCACTTAAAAAAATATATAAATATAACTTTGGCAAAATGAAAACAATTACAAGTGAGTAGATTAGAAATTTCTGCTTTATTAAATTTGGGTATGTTGAACCAAATAATATTGGATAAAAGCAAAAATAATTTAATTTTGTACCCTCATGGTTGTCCCTCTCATGCCAGCGTGGACGGTTAAAGAGCATTGACGCGTTGTCCGGATACTCTCTACAACCACACAGAGGACAGAACGTCCACTCTCCCTAGACTGACGAACCAGGCAGTGGTCAAGATCCACCTTCCTAGAAAGAAAACCACACGTCTGGACTATTACTCTGTCTTGTATCCCACTCTTAGCACCCTCCTTTATGAGTACCATTGTATTACATAATATATTAATTTTACTGGGAAACTCTGGTCTCAAGTTTCTTCAGTAAGTAAGAGGAGGTACACAGTCAAGAAAACATCTCTCTGAGATGTTCTTTTAAGAAAAAGCAATACTTTTTTGAACAAATTATTATTAAAATACAAAGGAAATAAAGGTTTCACACAGTTTTATAAAGTACCTTGAGTTAAGTTCACGTAGTAAGGTTGGAACCTCCAGCTCGTGTTTGGTCACAATGCCGAAGGAGGCCTTGACGGCCACTGAGTCTGACCCGCTGAGGTTAAACCCCACATCGTTTATTATGTGATTACCTAAACGACCGTTCAGGGATACGTCAGATTTATCCTCATAGTTTAGGAGTTGATAGGAGGATACTCCTGTAAAAAAACAAAAACAAAACAACAACTGACATAATGATGAATGATGAATGAAATGTATTAAGTATAAGACCCTTTTTTCTATTGATTAGATGCCTAAATTAGTTTGTCTATTAACCAGTGTTATTTTCAAGCATATTGCTGTATTTGATGTAAAGTGGATGTTAAGACGTTAACACATAGACAAAAATATTACCCTGCAATATTCAATGATTGCTCTATTTTATTCATAAAGAAACCATAAAACATCAGTTTGTTACTTAAAAAAAATCCATCTGTAGCTTTAAAAAAAGCTTAAATTTGATTGGCTTAATTTAAGCTTAAAAAATATACATCTTACAAAATTTTGCATATTCATTTTACATTAGACATAGTTGATAATTGGTTCTCAAGTAAACCTGTTATTAAATATGTTAGCTTTTTGAATAGGGTTTTTAGCATAGCTGTGCTATGCTGATTGCATTATTTGTCAGCATAGCTCAGCTAACATTGGTTGCAGTTAGTTTAGTTTTGTAAAATAAAAAAAAGTGCAGCGAAGCAAAGCTTAGTGTTAAGCCAAAGTATCGATGCTGAAAAACAAAACCAATCAACAGCAACTTTAAGCTAAAATCAACAGATAGAGTAGTCTGTTCTAGTTTAGCATATAGCATGTTTAGCTAAAAAGCTAACAACATGACAAAAGAATAAAAAAATGTAAAAAACTCAAAACAGCTAATTGTTCATGAAATGAATCACTAACTAAACACTGGTTAAATCAGGAAGGTCAGAAACAACAAATAAAAGTAACAAATAATTAAAAAGCTACTAATTAAAGAACGTTGTAAAAGTTTTACGGTGGTATGCCGCCAACTAGTGGCTGGAGGTTTAAGAAAAATGAAATTAATGTCTGCCTGTAAGTATTTTTGCATTTAAGGTTGTATTAATTTTTATTCAATACCAATATGGTCTGATGAATTATTGAGATATTTCACAGAATCTATTTCTTTTACACCCCTAATGTCTGTGAGAAAAATTACCAACAACCTATTTTTTAAATAATACATCATAAAGTCAATATAAATTAGAGATATAAGGACGATAGTTCTTAATTTTCACTATATAGATGTGTGTTTTTGTAAAAATGCATTATAGTGACTTAAATATTTAAAGAAAATAATATTTTTTCATCTTTTTTTTCTTTTAAAGCACAGGAAGATTGTAGGTTGGTATTCTAACCTGCTCTTTATGGGAGGGGAACACATTGACTGTGTCCACATTTTATAGGAAACACCATGAACAACTTAGCAGATTAAAGTTTAGCAGGATGGAAATGGCCTATACTTTTTGGAAAATATTTACTCTAATATTTCAACTGTAAATTTGCTGTAAATAAACTTAAAACGGACCTTTTGACCAATATTAATAATTTTGTTTTAAGTACATGGCAAGCTTTTAATATAATATTCAGAATAAGAACAAACTGTAAACAGCTATTTGTATTCAGGGAAACCTTTTTACCTGCCGTGATCTCTTTTTCTCCAACAAGGATGTCTTTCAGCGAAAACGCAGTTGAAGCGTACTTGTTCTTTTTCCAGAAATGTCTCTTCCTCTTTCTGGTGACCAGGCTAAGGGGTTGGTATCGATCAGCCTCGCTCAGGCTGGGAACCGGGATTAGTCTTCCTGTGTCTCCTACCTGTTTCACAAAGTTTTTAGTGGCTGCAGCAAACATTCTTAACATACAAACTGAACTGACGGGACTGCTTGCTCAACGGTACTCCCTAACTAGGGTGGCTAATCCGGGTGTGTTCTTTCAGACTCGTGGAATCATATTTAATGCATGTGATGTGTAAGATAATATGGGACAAGGTGTGTGCTACCCTGATAGATGCCTGTGGGCCTGCATCTACGGAAAGACTAAGATGACTCAATTCTAACCTATTTCTTATTTATTATTAACCCTGTAATGCCAAATGTATTGTATTTGATACATACGTTTTCTGAGATGTTTTGCATCTGAAACCTTTTGCATAATTTAATGGTAAAAACTTTGCTCAAAATCCTATTGTACACAATCAGATATACCTGATAACAGCCAGTAGAAGACTACACAAAAATAATCTTGACTTATCGCAAAGTAATAAATTATTAAAATCAAAAATGTATTTCTGTTTTTTCTTTTTACATATTTTGTTAAAAAGGCAAATAAGGAATTCAAACCAAAAAAAAGTACTTTTCTGTTTTGTTTTATTCTTGGATCGGGCTTTAAAGGGTTAAGTGCTCAATAATAAACTGTAGCCTTTCGTTCATCTTTGACTGCGCAAGCTTTCAATATGGCGACTGCAAAACTAAACGGTTTAAGATAGGAAAACATAAAGTAGGGACTTGATTAAAACACCCACATGCGGATGCTGTTCCTGGACTTCAGTTCAGCTTTCAACACCATCATCCCACAGCATCTGATGGGCACACTGGAACAGCTGGGCTTCAATACACCCCTCTGCAATTGGCTGCTAGAGCTCCTCACAAACAGACCTTAGTCAGTCTGGGTCAGACAGAACACCTCTGATGTCATCACCCTAAGCACGGGCTCCCCTCAGGGCTGCTTCCTGAGCCCCCTGCTGTTCATCCTGATTACATACCACTGCGCCCCCAGGTTCATCATATATCACATAATACATAAGTGGTGAAGTTTGGAGGCGACACCACGGTGGTGGGCCTCATCAGAGACGACAAAGACCAGGACTACAGAGAGGAGGTGGAGCAGCTGGTGGACTGGTGCAAAGATAACAGCCTGATCCTGAACGTAGACAAGACGCAGGAGATCATCTTGGACTTTAGGAAGAACTGTCACGCTACACTGCTCATCAACAGCTCTGCTTTAGAGGTGGTCAGCAGCTCCAAATCTGGGTGTGCACATCCCAGACACCCTCACCTGGACTGTAAACACCACCTCACTGATCAAAAGGACTTCTGGGTCACGACCTTCTACAGAAGCACCATAGAGAGCGTTCTGACCAGCTGTCTCACTGTGTGGTGTGGAGGCTGCAGCTCCTCAGACTGGAAGAAAGTAAGAAATACATTTCTTCCCAGCGATGCGTGTCCAAAGCCCATGACATCATCAAGGACCCCTCGCACCCCCAACATGGACTGTTCTCCCTGCTGTCCTCGGGGAAGAGACTTCGAAGCATTGGATGCAGGTCCAGCAGATTCCAGAACAGTTTCTTCGCCACCGCCATCAGACTGCTGAACTGTTGAGAAAACTCTTAATCGTTTTAAAGACTCTGCATCAAACTAACAACACAGTGTTTATATTTGATCAGTGCTGCATTTAATGAAAGCTGGACAAATGAAATTTCTTTTTGTATACACTCTGTGTAGACAAAATGACAATAAAAGTTGTTGAAGTCTGAGTCTAAAAAAGGATATAAGAAGGTACAGAAGAGGAAAAGAGAGAAAGATTAATGGAAAGAAGGAAGAATGATAGGATATACAGAATAAAATACACAAGAAGAATGGAGAAGAGGAGAGGAAGAGGAGAGGAAGGAAAAAGGAGGCAAGGAAGAGAGGAAGGAAAATAATATGGAGAAATAAAGAAAAACTGATAAAGTAGCAAATTATAGAGCATAAGAAAAAGAAATTAAGAAAGAAAGGCACAAAATAAGGAAATTAAACAAAGAAGACATTAATCAGGAAGTTTATAAGATATGTTAAAAGTAAGGAAACAAAGAAATGAGAGAGGAAAGTTTCAACGAAGAAAATACAAAAGAAAGAATTAGGGAATGGAGAGACACTATTTTTTTCTATTTTTATATTCAAACAAGTAGGGTCTTTCTATCAAATTTCCAACTTCTTTTCTGTATACGCCATGTATGAATCATGCAAACCTTCACTTAAAATACTGTTCTGCCCTCATGTCATTGGTAGTGTCTATGTTTTAGTCTGGATTAAGTCCAAACGTTTTTTTAAACTCTCAGTTAGTGGTAGTCTTTGCTTTGTGGTTGCGCTGCCATGTAGTTCCAATGTCCAGAAATAACCTGCTGTGTGTTTGAAGTCTTCAAGACGTCTAACCACAGCAGCTGAGATCTAAAGTAGATATCTACATATACTAATTTTCTCTTTTGGGTCAAAATCTTGTAATAACATAAGAAAAATTGTATTATAAAATAGACTGTTGTAACATCCCGGTAATATTTTAGATAATTCAGAAGGTAAGTTTAAGCTTTTATAATATTAGAAATGTTAACTTCAATTATTAGATGATATGCTGATGAAGTTATGTCCAATAACTGCAATTTCTAGAAGATGTAGAGTGGAAGACCATAGTTTGCCCTCATGACCTCCGATTTAAAAGTTTACAGTGTGTTTATTACACATCTGAAATCTCACGACTGGGCAAAGTTGAGCTTTTGTCTCAGGTTTTTGTCCTGTCTTCCCATCCCCATCCCATGTTGGCTCTCCTGTTTCCGTAATGAGAAATCAGCCTGTTCTCTAAGCACTTCCAAGACTTCCTGAATTGTCCTGCAAAGGAAACAAGTGATGTTTACCTCCGCTATTAAGACACATGCTACATTTAAAACAATTTTCCCAGCCAAACTAAAGGTAGGGTTCGTCAGAAAGGGACAAAACATCGTTGTTGAGGGAACGGTGGTGGGAAAATTCATGTTGTTTGCTTTGTTGTCTACCTCTGGGATGTCACAGACGGCCTGGTTGATGTACCTTCCTGGCGCAGCTTTGACCTGGAAAACACATTAATGGATGCTGCAAACACACTGTAAACCACTTAAGCTCTAGTCTACAGATGTAGGTCAGTAAGATGAATCTTTACAAGTTCATAAACATATAACAATCAGCAGATTTGTTTGTACGACCCAATTCTGCAACAACATAATTCAAAATGCTTTGCAGTGGCATTATAAAGGGAAAAAAAGTTAGACTGAAAGTAATTTCTTCAGATAAAAGACAGAGATGATGCTAAACAAATTGATTTTGCCCTTAAGCGATAGCTGCTTCTCAAAGTTAAGTTTCTATCCTAGTCTCTTTCCCTTTTTACATGTACAGCACTTTTAACGGTCTTGCTACTGAAATGTGCTGTATAAATAAACTTGCCTTGTTCTATTCTAGGGATGTGTAGTAGACATCAACCAGAGGACCAATGTAGAGGTTGAAACAACATCACCAGATCTTTAATTTATTTTGGTGTTGACCAAGATAAATTGCGAAAACTCATATTTCAAAAATCCAGTAGAAGCAAGTGGAAGGACTTTTTATCTGTGGTGATCTGCTCCACTTTGTTGGTTTTAGTGAGGACGTGGGTAGTAGCATTTTGCATCATCTACAGCTTCGGCTACAGCATCATCATGTTTTTTTTTTTTTTTTTAGCTAGTTAAATTAAAATCACATTTGTGAATAATCTGAAAACTGCAGTGGTGTCAAAAGTACATGCATTTGTAACTTAAGTAGAAGTATAAATACTGCTGTTAAAAAAACCTCTGGTAAAAGTTGAAGTATCAACTTGACCTCTTTACTCAAGTAGAAGTGAAAAAGTATGTGCTCCAAAAACTACTTAAAGTATAAAGTAACCACTATATTAATTGAAAGCTCAATTTTTTGTCTATTTCGAAATTTTTTTTGAGATAGGGCCAAGTTGGTCTCCATCTACATCTCCCGATACGCTCTCGCCTGTGTCGGGACCTTTCAGACATTTCAACATCCTTTTCTGAATCCAACATTGTAGCATGGCATAGATAATTCACGTTTACAGTTTGAAGAACGCCTGCTTGCTTCTGATGATTTCCTTTAGCTAACCAATGAAGGTTTGTGATATATGACTCATCCAGTTACACTAGTTTTCACTAGATGTGCATGGCGTCAATGATCTGCATTGGACGCATATGACGAGAAATAAATATTTATAAACATTAAACCGAAGCCAAAAGTAACAAGTAACGTTGGTATTAAAAATGTAAGGAATAGAAAGTACAGATACTTGTTTTATACTGTAATTAGTAGAAGTCAGAAGTAGTAAGAAAAATAAGTAATGGAGTAAAATATAGATACCTAAAAAGTGTACTTAGGTACAGTAACAAAGTATTTGTACTTTGTTACTTGACACCTCTGGAAAACTGTTTCATTGCGTTTATCAACTGGGTTTGGAAAATATGCAGGCCCTGGAAGAGGTGTGGGGTCTCTGTGTACTGTAGACAATAAGTTAAATAAGTTGGTAGGTGAAAGTGTAAGGAGAAATTCTGGACTTTCGCTCTCAAAAACTGGGAAGAAGGTGGAGAGTAGATCCCAGTATCTGGATGAAGTTTCTATTTTTTAAGGTACTCCAATTATTAGACAGGTTGGAAATTGCAGTACCCAGAGATATATTTGGCTTTGTCCAAGTACTTTAAATATATTTTGAAACCAGCAAGAAAGAATGAAATTGCTAAAACGGAAAGGGAAACTGGAAGGTGTGCAGAATGAGATTTCTTCAGGTTCTCCAAACAAGAATTAAGATTACAAGGACAGCAGGAAGAACATAGTGGTACCAGGAGGAATTCTGCCCTTTTTTAATCGACTCTAAACAGGAACTGAAAGAAATGAAGGAGAATGGGAAGAGTACCCAGAAAAGCATAGTCATACCAAAGTATTTGAAGCCAGCTTTTGGTCTATATCATTCACATATTAATGGCAATAGAAAAGTGGAATGTAAAAGTCACTATAGGGATATTGTGGATTTTTTTTAAGGCTTCGAAAAGAAAAGGAAT